GTACCCTCCCCCCCCACCCCCCAAAAAAGCATTCCCCTGCCCTTCCCGGTCCCTGGGGGAAGATGGGGAGGAGGGGAGGTGACACCTCGTCTCCCCCTGTAACCGGGGAGTTTGGGATGCGGCTGTTTGTACGACGCCGGAGCGGCGTTTTCCCGACAAACAGCCATAAAGCGGCCGCCCCAACTGCTGGATTTCTGCTTGCTCCTCCGCAGCGGCGAGTGACGACTGTTGCTTTCTCTCTTACGCCAGAACGCGTTCGTGGGCTTAACGAACCTCGGCGCCACGTGCTACGTCAACACTTTCTTGCAGATGTGGTTTCTTAACTTGGAGCTCCGGCAAGCCCTCTACTTGTGTCCCAGCACCTGCAGCGAGTATGCGGCCGGAGAGGGCATCCCAAAAGACAAAGGTGGGTGGTTTTGCTCGTTTTCTCCTAAAATTTTACACGCTGGTGTCAGCTTTGGGGTAACGTTTATCAGGAGAATGGATGGGTGAAGCTACAACCGCTTGTCCGATCTTCGCTCACCTCTTTTTGAGTCCATCACCTGGCTTTTAGGAACAACCCATCCTTTACTGGAGTTATTTCTTAAATCGGAGTGATCTGATCTGGTTGAAAAATCTGATTTGGGTTTGTTTCTTGCCGGGCTGCTTCCCAGACTGGTTCCCAGCTTAATGATGGTGCTGGGGGTGGAAGCGCATGGGTTGGGGTTGATCTACGCTACTGTGGAGCCGCACTCATCCCATGGGACGGTGAAAATTCAGGTCTCCGGTACGAATGAGGCTCCCAGTTGCCTGCACAGTGGACATACGTATGTATGGTATGGCGCTATAGGTGCACTCTGGGTCGGGGCAGCCACCTGATTTCTTCTGTTCCTGTTTTTATGGTATTTTTAAATGACGTCTTGCCGTTTAGGGTAAATACGAAGCCGTTGCTGTGGGGTAATCGGCGCACGCTGCTTAAACTCATCACTCACAGCTCATGCTAGGCACTGTGGGATACTTAGGGTTGGACTCAAGGATCGTAAGGGTCTTTTCCAACCTAAATGATTCTACGGTATTTGGCCTGCGCCGGGACTTCGCTGTCATCGCTGATGTTAACCGCTTCAGTTCTCACGATAATTTAAACCAGCTTTTAAAAAACCATGTCATTTCTAATCATTACATTTACCTGTACAAAGAAAGAACAAGCGGATTACTTGGAACAATTGTCTCTTGCCTTGAATTACTTGCTGTAACTTGCGCAACTTCTTGTTTTTAATAGACTATGAGCCTCAAACCATTTGTGAACACCTCCAGTACTTGTTTGCCTTGCTGCAGAACAGCAAAAGGCGATACATCGATCCCTCTGGGTTTGTCAAAGCGCTGGGCTTGGACACGGGACAGCAACAGGTAGGTTTGAGGCGTACCTTCTCTAAAGCAGCGTAAAACCACCCTTTTCTGTTGTTTTAGCATCTCTGAGCCAGGATCTGCTGCTCGGTACAAACGCAAAGGGAGAAGCGGTGCTCAGGGCCCTTCCCATCGGTGTGGGAGATTGGGGGAGCCCAGGGAGCGACGGGATGGGGACGGGGAGCGTTGTGAGCGCCCGGTCGACCCTGGCACTGCGCGGGGTGGGAGCCGCAGCTGCCACGAGGGTCCTTTCGCAGGTGCTTTACGCTCCTGCTCCTCCCAGGGCAGGGAAATACTCGGTGGTGGGTGGTTCAGTGGGGCTCGAAGGGCCCTCGCAGGGCGAGAAGACATTTGGTTGGGTCACCGAGAGCCAGCCGAGGTCCGACGCGAGCGCGTGGGGCAGAGAAAGCATGGTTAGAGAGGGGCGAGTGCCGCAGGTGGGTCCTGTTGCTGACGAGGGCTCAGGAGAAGGGCACAGCTTGAAAATACACTTTGAGAAGTGAGAGGGAGATGGTTGGAGGAAGAGCCCGAGCGCCGGCGTGTGTTTCCTTGGGAGGATGCAGGAGGGGAAGGAAGCAGTCACTACCGACCCGTGATAAAGGACAGCTGGGAGATGCCAAAGCCCATTCGTTTTCAGAAGAGGAGAGCAAAGGAGAGGATGGGAGAGGAAGGCCCTGAGATAAGTGCGGGAAAGCTCACAAGCCTTGCAGGAAGGGGACGAATCCACAGGGCAGCTTCTCATTTTTGGGGTGTTTTCATTCTTTCTTTCTTACCTATAATGCAGGCAAGGCCGGCTTGACTTGCGTGCTGAGCTTTGAAAAACGAGCATTAACGGGATAGAAAGCTCTGCAGGAGGTTTTTTTTTGTCTTCCAGAGCCCTGTGAGGAGCGGGGCAGAAGTCAAACCACCCGGCGCGGCTGGCCGGGAGCCAGGTTAACTCATGCCGTGCTCCCACGCTGGGGGCCTCGCGCTCCTTTTAGGCAAATTCCTCTTTTTCTTTACTTCTCCCAACTGGTCTTTTTTTCTATTCAGTGCACGCCAGAGCATCCGTGCAGCCTGTGTGTAGGGCTCCGGGTAATTTGCAGTAAATTAGCGACAAGGTTGTGACTGGGCTTTGTGCTGTGGCGTCTTGTTAACGGACTTGGCTTTCTCTTCTAGGATGCCCAGGAGTTTTCAAAGCTGTTCATGTCACTGCTGGAAGATACTTTATCCAAACAAAAAAACCCAGATGTTCGAAACATAGTGCAAAAGCAGTTCTGTGGAGAGTACGCCTATGTCACGGTGTAAGTATTTGGTCTTTGGAAAGGACTTTTCTGTAAATATTTAAACATTTTGGATGAAGTTGAGGGGGGGAAAGATCCCTCCTAACAGCCGGAGCAGGCAGGTAAGCTTCTGCTGAAACACTTTGTAAGAGGTTTTTAGCTTTTAGGTTTCCTGATTCTGTGTGCGTGGTGGTGTTGCAGTTCTCCAGCTGCTTTTAATCCCTTAATGAAAATTTACCGCTTAAGCCTGCAAGGGAGTTAACAGAACGTAAAGTCCTGCAGCCAGAAAATAGAGTCCTCAGGTATTGTATTTTCATTCCTGCATTCTGAGCTGTGGATTTCGCCTCAAAAATGATATAAAATGGTGTACGCGAGTTGTCAGCAGGTGCTCCTGGTTTTCCTGGTACATGCTATTATCCCGTTACCACCTTTTTGCAGAGTGTTTGGGGTGTGGAGGTGTGAACCGCGTTAATTCTGACTTAAACAACTTTTTCTCCTGGTTTTGTAGCTCAAGGAGTAGTTTATTAGTGGCCGTGGAGTTCAGACGCGTGAACCAGTGAACTGTCCTCATGTGTTTTTGTCTTTTTTTTTTTTTTTTTTTAATCCTAGCTGCAACCAGTGTGGCAGGGAGTCGAAACTCGTGTCTAAATTTTACGAGCTGGAGTTAAACATCCAAGGGCACAAGCAGTTGACAGACTGTATAACGGAATTTCTTAAGGTACGAGCTCATTGGTTTTTGACTCCTGCTGTTCTTAGCAAGGTGTTTTAATTCCTTCCTTCAGTTAACGGCCTTTGAGGTCAGTATCAGAGCGAAGCGACGGAGTTGTCGCAGTGAGACGCATGCAAAAGGAAACGTGTTTTTCTGCAGACCCAGAAAATGAGGATTGAGCCATGCGAGCAAGGAGTGGCTCCGGACCAGAGCGTAGCACACGTGCCTGTTATGGCTTTAAAAAGCACTTGAAAGTCGCACGTTTAGTTAAAATACTTTCCCAGCAGAGTTGGGAAAAAGTCCCCAAAGCCTGACAAAAAGTCCCTGAGTGCTTTGTCAGGGATGGCGCCGGGAGAATGGCTGCTTTTTTTGTTTTCTATATTGGTGCTCATCTGCATAGCAACAGGAGGCATTCCCCACTCTAAAATGTGCTCTCAAAAATACTACGGAGGGCTGGGAATAGCTGCGGGAACAGCTGCAAGTGCTCTTAATTCGACTTGAAAATTTGCCTAGATCTTAAGTTAAGATCCTGCGTGTTAAAGGTTCGAGGTGTGGATTCAACTACGGATATTTAGGACAGAGCTAACCTGAAACGTGACTCTGTACCTGAGCTGTCTGGCTGTTGGGCAGCGGCTTCGCCGATGCGCTCAGCAAACCGGTTGCTCTGCTTGCGGAAGGTCTGCTATGAAAAAAGACTGGTTTGCGTACGCGCATTGAAATCCTGAAATGGTGAACTTCAAGTTTGTCTGCTCCTCCTTCAGATGAAACAACCCGGTGACCTTGTTTAGGGCAGTAGGAGTCCTCCTCTGCCCTAATCCTGCCATTGGATCTACTTAGGCGTAGGTGGTGACTCTTACACGGTGATGTTTGTGTGGCCGAGCACGAGGGGATTGTAGTTTCCAGGCTAAATTGTAGCTTTACATTAACTTGGTGCATGTGAGCTCGTAAAAGGGCGATTTAATGACTTTTTTTTCCCATAGCCCTCAGTATAAACCAACTCAGTCAAGTGAAGAGCAAACCTGACGGTCTTGTAAGTGGCCTGAGAACAGGGCTTGATTCGGTCTAAAATATTCCTTAAAGTGAGAGCAGGCTACTATGGCTGTGCTGTGAAGCGCGTTTATTAGCGTGCGTTTTTAACCAAGAGATTATTCTGGAAAGCAGCTGAGTAGAGACTTAAATGGTTAAAATAGCTCCCGTGCTTTTCAGTCTCCAGCTGTTGAGGAGCTTGGGCTGGTTGACTTTTCAGTGGTAATCTGTTCTCAAGACCTTTCTTTCTGCCTCCCCTCACCGCTCAGGAAGAAAAATTAGAAGGGGACAATCGTTATTTTTGTGAAACTTGTCAGAGTAAGCAGAACGCCACGAGGAAGATCAGGCTGCTAAGTCTTCCCTGCACGCTCAACCTGCAGCTGATGCGTTTCGTGTTTGACAGGTAAGCCTCTCGCTGGAGCGTGCGCTGTAAAAGCGGGAGCGCCCCGCGTCGCGTGGAAACTTTTTGGAAAGTTGTCTGCTCGGCGCTCTCCGTGTTGATTTGAGAGCTTGAGGACTGAGCGCGCGCATAAGCTTCTCTGGGGATGCTCGGTGGGTTTCGAGGGGAGTTACTTTGAGATGTGAACTGTTATTGCTGTCCCCTGAACCGAAGCTTTGCCTCCGCGCAGACAAACTGGCCATAAGAAAAAGCTCAACACCTACATTGGCTTCTCCGAGCTGCTTGACATGGAGCCTTTTATGGAACAAAAAAGTGAGTTTTGCGCGCTGTGTTTTGTTAGTTTTACCCGCTGCCCCTCAGCAGACGAGAGGAGATCTCCTCTGAATCCTCTTTTTGATGGAAAATCATGTCAAGAGTTGTCGGAAGCCCACATTTCAAATAACTGCCTCGCTAAGTGCGTTGCGGAAGCCACAACCTACTTAGCGAGGTCTTGGAGAGATGCGAGTTCAAGTGCGGTCTTTGTCCGCTGCCTTGCGAAATCTTTAAGCGCTGGGAAAGAAAAGATCTGTGCTGTTTCATCCAGAGCGCTACCTAACTGCCGCTTTCCTTCCAGACGGCGTCTACGTGTACGAACTTAGTGCCGTCCTCATACACCGCGGTGTGAGCGCCTACTCCGGGCACTACATCGCCCACGTGAAGGATCCACAGACGGGCGAGTGGTACAAGTTTAACGATGAAGACATAGAAAAGATGGAGGGGAAGAAACTGCAGTTGGGGATTGAGGAAGATCTAGGTAAAACCTTTAAGTTGTGAGTGCCCTTTTAAAATAACTTTTCACCAAAAACGCAGAGGCTGAATACGTGGAGGCCCTGATACTCTTAAAACAAAAATGCTCCTACGCGTGCTGTCACATCTTGGGAGTAATGTGTGAAGCGGCAGTTCTGTTAATTGCAGACAGATTTTCTTCGCTTCAGCCCCGTGTGAGTGTTTACGCACACCTCGTGATCAGTTCCTCTACTCTAGTATTTCCCTTGCCTGCCGCATGGCAGATAAGACGCTGATAGCTCGGGCCACAGTTGCCTATCGGGATGGAACAGGCAAGCTGCCGCTTCCTTGGCCGCTGTGCAAAAGGAGGCTTAGGAACAGATAACGAGATGACTTTCAGTTTCCTTAACACATTATGTTTTTATTTCCACTGAGGTGTTTTATTTGGAGGCAGTAAAGAGTCTTCATAAAAAAATCTTGAGCCAAATAATGGCTCGGAAGCCAAAACTGCCTTTTTACTTTGCGCTTTTTCCTTCTCCGTT